CGTAACCACAACTGGCCCTGAAGGGGATATGTCCATCGGTTCTGGCTCTGGAGGCGCTTGCGTCTGAGGTGGCACCACTGTCGGTGCGTTTGACGATAGCCGTTCGGCCATCTTTGGGTCCTTCTCCGGTGAGGGGAAGAGACGTCTGCGCCTTCGGATCCAGTAGTCTGATATCATTCTGAGCACCAGCCGGCGGAGCATGTCGGTAAACATCTCGTAATCTTCCGACCTATTCTGGTCCTTAGCCTCTTGTCTCTTTCTGATGAGGTAAGGGTACTGCCGGCGGTCATTGTTCTCGGCATGGGCCACAAGGTGTCTCTGCTCCGTTGGAGTGAGCGCACTCATGGGCATCAGGGCCGAGTCAGCTTCCACCTGTTCGGTTGGAAGCTCAATGAAGGTTTTCGCCGGTTCAGGGGCCACTGGTGCTGGTGGCGGAATCCGTTCGACCGTTATGGTCATGACCGGCTGTTGAGGAGGAGGCGTGGTGTCCATCTTCTCCTTTTCCGGTGATTTGCCTGGCCGGCTCGGTGTGAACCGGGGAGGCGGTGGTTCAGGGGCCGGCATACTTGGCATGCGCGCCGGTTGTGATGTGGCGCGGCCAGGAGAAGTCCGTTTCTCGGGAGACCGGCTTTTGCGAGGGGATCTCCTCGGTAGAGGAGATTTATCCCTCACGGTCTCGTACAGGACGCGTTGGACGTCTTTGTCCAAGTCTTCTTCGTCCTCGCTGGACAGAACGCCGTAGTAGGCTGCCGGGAACTGAGGAATTTCCTCGTCACTTTGGACCTCCTCCGATGGGAGTTGGTCTTCCACTGGCTGACCTGGTCTTGGGCGTGGTTCCACTGTCCAAGCTCTCGGGTTGATGTGTGGCCCTCTGATATATATTGCGTGCTCGATGATTTCGCCAGGCAGTCTGCGCTGGCGAAGGGCCTGGCTTTTGCTTCGCATAGCCATGAGTCTGCGGATGAGGATGTTCCGTTCCTGGACCAGTAATTGACAGCTCCGGTAGGTGCGGTCAATCTCGTGTTCGGTCAAGGCTGGATCGCCGGCGCGTATCCGCTGGCGCATGTTCTCTTCCGTGAGGTTTAAGCGAAGATCAACTTCTATGATCTCGCTTACCAGTTCGTTATGCGGGTCCATCTGATACTGGCTGGTTGGGCCCGGTGGGGTCAACCGTATACGATGCCTCGTTTGAGGCTCGTCCCGCAAAGGTGCCGTTGTTCCCGATGGGATTGGCCGCTCCTCCGGTGGTGAGAGCACTTGGCCCTGTCCAGGGAACTTCTTTGGTGGTGACTTCTTCTTCTTGGTCGTTAGACCACGAAGAACCAACGTTGGTTGGCTAGTCGCAGGTTTAAGTATAGGTGGCCCAGGCCTGGTAGGGCCAGGGCGCTCCGAGTCCCCTGTTGGGCCACTCCCCGTTGGAGGAGTGGGCCTGCGGGTTGGGTTCAGCTCCAGGTCCATCGGTGGTCCTCTCCATGCTGGGAGTGACCGTTGTGAAGGTGGCTCCTCTGCCTCTGGAGGAGTCCGTTTCTTCCTTATGAACCTGGGCGACTGTGGGCCACCAGTTGTAGCTGGCGTGGCCGTTCTTTCCGGTGTGGCTGGCTTTCCTCCGGTCGATTTCCTGTCCTTTGGACGGACGACCAAAGTGCCGCCTGATGTATCGCCTTCAATTCGGTTTGGCGTGGGCGTGGTGTCAGATGAAACCGTTGGCTCATCGACTGCCATTGGACTTGCCGGTGCACCATCCGGTTGGACTGGTGCTGGCTCAGATTGGGCCTGTTTTTCCGGCGAGAGCTCGAACGTTTTGTCGAGCAAACTCACGTCCATCTCCGTGTCCTGTGGTGGAATTTCCATGCTGATATCCGCGGTAGCGGTTTCAGCAGTGTCCACAGGTTGGCTTGATGTTGGCCCAGGCACGGTTGGCGCTGGGGCCACTGTTGGGGCTTGGACCAAAGTTGGGTCCGCCGATGTTGAGGCAACTGGTGCTTGCACAGTGGTCGACGCCGTTGGCGCGGCCACTGGGTCTGGTCGCCATTCATTCACCGGGTCGAAGTCACCGGGGCGTTCCGTTGTCGACGGGCCAGGTCGTTGGACCTTCCAGTAATCTTCGACGAATGTGCGGAGCCATCTTATGGTGTGCTCCACAACAACCAACGAATCGCCGGTAGGCATCGTGTTGTTCGGTGTAAGTTCCCGGAGCAAGGCTACCCGATGGGATAAGCTTTGCTGCTGTTGAGTCAGCCGGACCGCTTCTGGGTCGAATGGGCTGAGGTCCCGTATGCGGTTGAACAGGCGACGATATATGTCCTCAGCATCTCGAATCAGGGTTCTGACCCGTATTGCCACTGGGATCGTCATCTGGAATGTGCCTGTATCCGCTCCGGTTAATCTTCGGCGCCGGGCCTCTTGTTCCTCTTCGAATTGTTGGCGAAGATTACGGCGGCCGGATTCGGTGGGTTCTGCCAGTTGGATTATACTGGCAATGGCGCCGGTTCTGGAGGTAATGGGGTTAGCCGTTGTGGCTCGCATGATGAGTTCCAGGCGCTCCGCTATTTCTGGCGGTGGCTCCAGTTGATGTGGCCTCTGTTGGGTTCGCCGGTCTGGCGCGACCGTGTGATCTGGCGGAGCCATTAGCCCTGGTACAGGGATAGGGGCGGGCATGTCCAGCCATTCGATGTCGCTTTCAGTGTCCGCATCCGATTGGAGCGGAGTGGCTGGCCGACTAAATGCTGGTCCCGCCGCAAGTGTTTCGTTAGAAACCTGCATGATGCGCCTGTATCTGTCTCTCAGTTCTTCCGCCGGTCGACGGTCTGAGGACGAGCTTAGAAGTCCGGGGTGGACTCCGCGTGTCGCCTGCCCCGGTTGGGGTGGAGGCAGCACTCGTTCGAGTGCTTGGTCGATTAGGCCACGCTGATATCTTCGGTTAAGGGAGTCGCGCGTTTGTGGTCCGGCTGTGCCGGTGTCCAATGGCTTCTCCATACAGCGCAACATGGCCTTTCGCAGCCGAATCTGGTATGCCAGGAGGCGTTGGAGTTCTGCTTCCAAGGCGACTCTTCTGCGAATGGTTGCTATGTCCGTGCCGGTAAGGCCACGAACGACTGTGCGGATTTCATCCGTTAAGGCCTCTGCCGCCTGAAGTTCGCGGTCCAAAGGCATTAAGTCCAGGTTGGCCCGTAAGTCATACGGGGATGATGCTGGTTCGCGCTGTTGCGAACCAGTGGCTACTGCTGCGTCGGTCGGCGCAGGCAGGGCCACTGATGCAGCTGAAGTTTCTCCGGTCGTGGCGGTAACCACGGCTATTGGGTTCAGCGGCTGTGGTGGCGCTGATGGCGCTGGCGGAGGGCGTGGTGGTGGTATGGCACTTCTTTGCCGGAATTCATGCGCCATCCTGTGCTGTTCCAGCTGCCATCGCATTTCGCGGGCTGCCTCCAGCAAGGCCGGACCGGTTTGGTCGTGGAACGGTAGTATTTCGTGCTGGGCCCGCCGGAATGCAATTTCGTCCTTGAGTTCGCGCGCCAAGCGTCTAAACTCATCCTGGTCCTTGATGATCCGCATGACCAAGTCACGTTGGTGAGGGTCCTGAATGTTGAATCCTCGGATCATCTGCTCCAGTTCCTTAATGGAATTCTCTACTTCCGCAAGGTTCTCTTGCAGAATGTAGAGTGGGGTTCTGCCATCGGCCAATGGTTCGTCCGGTGGCTCCGAGTGCAGTGATGGCGTTGACACCGGTTCAATCATGTCGTCGATGTCCGCAATTAGTGGTGGTGGCGGCGATGACACAGGTTCTGTCGGTGGGACAGTCTGGTCACGCCCGGCCAACACCGGGTTTGGTGCTGGCCCTGCAGTCGGGTCCGGTTCCGTAAGGCCGAGTTGGGCCGCCATTGCTGGTGGGACGTCTTCTGGCCGGTGGTATACAGTGTATACGCCATCCACAAATACCCGTAATGGGAAATCGCGCATGTCACGATTACCCGATGTGGTCGGCTGGGATGGCTGCGGCTGTTCCGTTCGGAATGCCTCCAGTCCCGGTTGTGGGGCTGGTATACTGGAGTCTGACGGTTCTTGAACCGTAGGTTCAAGTTCTTCCGTAGAAGAATCATACGGCGGTTCGCCGTATCCGCCATAACCGCCGTAGGGCGGTGGATATCCATAAGGTGGTGGCGGATATGCCCACGGTGGTGGGAATCGCCACTGGTTCTGGTCCGGCTGCGGCTGGTTCGAAGGTCCAGGCGCAGGATACGGTGGATATCCGTAGTATGGGTTGTAGTATGGGTGAGGAGGGTAGCGTGGCCTCGGCCCAGTATGGGCCGGCGGAGTCTGGACCGTTGGTCCGACTGCTACCGTAGTTGTGGCTGGCTGGTTGGCCGATTGACCACCGTACAAAATTGGTCGCGGGCCGGTTGGGCCCCGCGGCATATGTCGGACCGTTCGGCCCGACGAAGAGCTGGGCTGACTGCTGGCTGCTGCCGCATTGACCAGGAGTCCGGTGTGGTCGGAGAATGTCCCTGGTGGCCAATATTGCGGCGGGATGGCCCGAGGTGGCATGGGCTGACTCCGCGGTAGCGGTGTATCAGCCCGGGGTCCGGGTCCAACTGACATGTTGGCCAGCTGTTCAGCAGTTAAGTTAGCTCTGATATTCGGTACCTGTACACTCGGTGGCCGGTTGGACGACCGAGTGGAAGATCTGCCAGACCGGGATTCCGGTCTTGAGTAAGGATGTGATCGGCCGCTTCGGTCGGAGTCGTCAGAGCGGTCGGTGCGTCGTCGTCCTTCCATAGTTCTGTGGGGACACTGTTGCGAGACCAATTGCGCTACGTTAGACTCCTACCTAGGGTTAGTTTAGCGTTGTAGGTTAGCTACTTCTAAGCTACCTATATCAGATAAGCAACCGATCCATTAAAGTTAAGGTTAGTTAGTTAAGGTAACGGGCCTGCAGCGTTGGCTGTGACCCCTATTAAAATTTAAGGCCTATGCTTAAAGTCCTTTAAATTAGGCCAATTAAGTTATTTTAAGTCATTCTGTCCAGCCTTATCAACCGTCTTGTCCAATACGCCCGGTTGGAGCGTATTGGCCTTCTGCTTTTTGCTGGTTAAGGTTTTCTCTGATTTTTCTCGGCCCACAGTTATGCGGGTGAGAAGGTCTTTGTCTGCCTCATCATCAGCGACTCTGTCCTCTTCTAGGACCTGCTGAGCCGTAAGGGTTGCCTTCGGCTTTTTAAGGGTCTTTAGCTTTTTTGGCTTTTCAGGCAGGCTCTGACTTGGTAGACTTGGCTTAGGTTCAGGTTTGTCAGGTGCGGCCGTTGGTTTATCGGGTCCCGCGGGTACTGACTCTGGGTCAATGACGGCTAATGGCTGGTTCTGGAGTTTGGTCAAGGCTGGCGTTTCGAAGTCCGGTTTGGCCTTCCGAGGCCGGCCACGGCCACGTTTCGGGGCCGGTTCTTCAGGTTGTGGTTCGGGCCCTTTAAGGCCAGGTATCTTCAGAGTCTTTTGCTGCTCTTCCACGAGTTTCTTGGAAGGGCCCTTTCCGGGCTTTTGCTTCTTCAGCAGCTTCTCCAGTTTGGTGGTTGCACCTTCCGACTCTGTGGGTTCAGGTTCTGCGTCGCCACCCTTCTTCTTGGTTGAACGGGTGATTCGGCGACTTGGGCCGTCCGGGTTTAGGTACGGCTTCAAACGGTCGACACATACGGTGAGTTCTTCACCGGTGTCTCGCTCTCGGATCCAGTAAGTGTTTGGCTTAGGAATTCCGAGAATGATGTAGATGCCCTCATACTTGTTTGGATTGGTCGGGTCATCCACCATGTTCTTCAGGGTGACCAAGTCCCGCTTCTTGAACTCGGCCTGGGCCTTCTTTTTGTTGTAGATGGCCGCATCCCGTAGGAACCCTTCTTCAATGCGCGTTTTCGCGATTTCATGCGCCCGGTTCAGGCGCTGCTGCATCCTCTCGACATAACGTTCGTTAGTCGTAAAAGTTTCTGGGACGTTGGTCCCAGCGAGGACGTCTTGCGGTATGGTCATTTCCCGTCCATACAGCATGTGGTATGGCGAGAATCCAGTGGTGGCGTGAACGGCACGGTTCATGCCGGAAATCACGTAAGGTAAGGCCCGGTGCCAACGATGTTCATCGCCAGCTCCGCCAAAGCCGCGAATTCCGTCCCAGATGGTTTGCATCTGGCGTTCGACTTGGCCTTGGCCCTCCGGGTGGTAAGCGGAACCGAACGTTTGTTCGATGCCGAAGATTTTCGCCACTTTGGCGAAGGATTTTGCCGTAAAATGCGTACCCCGGTCGGAGTGCATTGTGTGTGGCATTCCATATTTGAGGACAACTTCCTCGACGAAGAACTTCTCGAACTCTTTGGCCGAGTTTGTTTTGGTCGGCCGAGCTATGGTGAACTTCGTCATCTGGTCGACCACTACGGCGATGTATCGGTATTTCTTGGTTTCCGTCACCGGTAATGGTCCTTTGAAGTCGGCGAAGACGCGGTACCAAGGCGCAACAGCGTCAGTCGGCTGCAGCTTACCGTAGGTAGCTCGCCGCGGTACTTTGCCGAAGATGCACGTCTGACATCGGTCGATGTAGTCGTGAATATCGCTGCTCATACGGTCCCAGTAGTACCTGAGCTTGGCGGCTTCAATGGTCTTGCGGTATCCAAAATGATTCCCTGTTTTTCCATCATGGAGGGACTGGATAATGTTCTTCCGCATGAAGAGTGGAATGACAAGTCTCCGTTCGAGCTTGGCATTGATTTCGGTGAGTCGGTAGAGCACACCTTTATCCATCTGATAATGTTCAGGAAGTTTGGACCTCTTGTCCATTTCGGTCTGGTGTTCCAACTCATAGACCTTCTTGGCCAGGGTTGGATCCCGATGCTGCATCCGTCGCAGTTCTTGCGCGGTGCGGTCCATTACTTTTTCTGGACATGGCGGGACTACGGGGTCCGGTTCGTCCGGTTTGGGCGCCGGAACATTGATGACCCGTATGTCCGCCGTGCTGAATTCATTCCAATCGCTGATTGCGTTACAATCAGGAAGGAGAGGCGTGTCCCAATCATTTGTGGGGTCCTCATCAGTAACCTGCAGCCTTCGCACCTTTATGATGCGGGCTGGAATCTCGTCTTTATAATCCTCGAAGTTTGGGACCTGGTCCAATTCTTCATGTGGGCCCTTGTCGTCGTCCCGTTCGAGTGGCCATCTGGACAACGCGTCGGCGTTGTCGCAGAAAGTGCCTGGCTTGTACTCAATGGTAATGTCCCTTCCCTGTAAGGCAAGGGCCCATCGAGTAAGACGAGGGTTGATGCCGGGCCGGTTAGACTCGCATCTCAGCAGGTTAGTCAGAGCTCTGTGGTCCGTCCTTACGGTGAAAGGTCTATGGTCGATGTAATGCTTGAATTTCTGGACGGCCCACACTACGGCTAGACATTCCCATTCAGTCACACCGTAGTTCTTCTCAGCTCCATGTAGGACACGACTCGCGTAGGCGATTGGCCTTGAGTCCTGGCTGAGTATGGCTCCGATGCCAGCGCCACTTGCATCACATTCGATGGTGGTCTTTTTGGTGGCATCGAATTTGGCCAATATAGGGGCTTCCGTTAGGGCCTTCTTTATGTCGTTGAACTCGGCGGTGTGGGCGTCAGTCCAGTCGTCCTTGACCGAACTTTCCTTCCGCAGGAGTTCGTACATCTTGGAGGTCTTCTGAGCGTAGCCCAGAATGAACTTCCGGTAATAGTTGGCGAGTCCAAGGAACGAGCGAAGTTGCCGCTCGGTCCTGGGCGGTTGTTTCTCGGCGATGGCCGCAACCTTCTCTGGGTCAGTGTGGACACCGTCCTTGCTGAGGATGTGTCCCAGGAATTGGAGTTTCTCCATTCCAAATTCGCATTTCGACGGTTTTATCGTGAATCTGGCATCCCGCAGGCAGATGAGCGTATTTCTGAACGCTTGCCTGAATTCGTCGAAGGTTTTGCCGAAGAATATCACGTCGTCGATGTATGCGAAGACGCCGCCTTTCTTACGTGCTGGCGCCATAATCTTGTCCATTGTCATTTGGAATGTGGCTGGCCCATTGCAGACGCCAAACGGCATTCGTTTGAACCGGTACATCCCTTCGGGTGTCACGAAGGTAGTATAGTCCATGGACGCTGGGTCCATTGGGATTTGCCAGGATTCCGGACTGACAATCTACCTTGCCGTAATAGGCGTTTCCTGCACACTGATCCAGAAGTTCGTCTGGATTGGGCAAAGGATAGTTGTTCTTCTTGGTCACCGAGTTCAGCTTTATGTAGTTAATGCAGAACCGGGTGCCCATGGTTCCGTCGCCGTTTTTCTTCGAGGCGAGGACCACTGGGAAACTCCACGCTGCCATGGACGGTTCAATGACGCCTTGGTCCAGCATTTCCTGGACGTGCTTATTGATGAACTCGCGTCCCTTCCAACTCGTTCGGGTTGGGTTCATTTTGATGGGTGCAGCGTCGCCAACTTCTATGACGTGGGTCACTCCCTTCACGTCGCCATAAGGCTTTTTGGACGTAGGGAATATGGCCCTGAGTTCCCATAAGTCCTGACGGAGTACAACGGTTTGCTCCTCGGTCAGGTGGTCGCCAAAATGTGCGTTGGCGATGTGGGCGCGGATTTCGCGTTCCACTTCAGGGTCTTCCTCTCCGGTTTGGAGGGAATTGATCCGGGCGAACTCTTCGTCCGTGGCCTCCTCATATGGCTCTACTCGGCCCATGTCCGCTCCTTTGCGGAGTATGTGGGTTTCCTTCGAGTAGTTGGAGACCAATATGGTGAAACTTCTGCCGTCATGCTGGACCGGTCCGTCAAGCATGGCCAGACTCCGTTTGGTGTCCTGGCTGCCAAGATACATGAGTTTCTGCCTTGGGTCAACGGCGAAGTCGATACTGACTTGGACCGGTGTAATGGACTCCGGTAGGAGCTCCGTTTTTACACTGGCCCGGACTTTGGCATAGTCAGTTATGGTGCGCTGTCTCTTGGGATTGTGTCCCGCTTCCTTTGGCCATGGTAGGGCGCTGGCGTTTGGTATGGACCAATCCACGCCGTCCTCTCTGATGTCTGGCTCATATATATCACTGTAGTACATATGGCCAATTCTTGCACCTTTACGGAGGACTTGGTCGCGTAGAGACTTGTTCTGGATCTGGATCCATGCGTACTCGTCCTGACGTGTTTCTACCTCCGCCTCGACCGGTAGGAGTTGGCGGTGTGGTCGTCTTAACGAGTTGAAGTGGATCGGACGCTTTGGATCCATGGTTCGGTATGTGCGGACCTTAACCCAGCAGGTTGAGTAGGCTGGTATGGTGTACCGCTTATGGACGAAGACAACTTCTTTTTCTTCTTTAAGGCCATCCATTTGCCGTTGCAGCCTGGTTCGGCGAACGGTTGGTGCTTCGGCCCGAAGTTGGCGAATGGTTGGGTCGTCTTCATCATCACTAGACTCCTCCGATGATTGGTTGTCGGAGTCAGTGTCCGGTGAGTCGCTTGAGCTTTGGACGTCCGAGTCGGTAGACTCGGGTTTATCGTCCTGCTCTGGCTTTGGCTCGCCTTTGTCCTCGTTAGAGGTTGGCTCGCCGCCGGTCACCGTTGGGGCCGGTTCAGTCAAGAGATCCGGTTCTCGGTTCTCTGGCGACTCGGTTTCGGCTTCCTGTTCTTCAGGTCCGTCCGGGTCTGCCGGTGTGGTTGGACGGTCCCTGTTAGGGAGTGGCGAGGCCGGTCGGCCTCCTGTCCACCGTTGAGCAGCACGGGTCTGGATGGCCCGTATTACCGCTTCAACGCCGTCTCCACATAGAGGACAAGTCAGTTGGACTTCCTCAGGTGAAGGGTCCTGCTTTTGGCTGGTGTCCCTCTTATGGCCTCCCTGTTCCGGGTGTGGGCCATCGTTGAAGCGCACTCTTGTCGCGATGTGCGGTGCAGCTTCTGGCAATGGTGCCGGTATGGTCCTGACGTTGGTCACGGACAAATCATACTTTGGCCATATGCTGGCGGTTACGCCAGGGTGTTGGGCCATTTTCTTGTGAAGCTGTATGATTTCGTCGAAGAGGTCAGGGCACATTCGTTTGAGTGCCTTCGGCATTTCCATGTGGTACTCCTTGTATTCCCACACCAGGGCTAGACGTTCGTCTTCCCATAATGATCCCTCTTCGTGGAGTTTGTCCATTTCTTGGGCAAACGGTCCATATTCGGCTCCGATCTGCGCCCACGTTTGTGGCACGCCTTTTTCTTCGAGCCAGCCCTCCTCTAGGGCAAGGAGTCGGTCAGCGCGGTATTGGAGGAAGTTTCGTACTCCGATGAACCATGTTTTGTATCGCTGGACCAGGTTCTCCTTAGTTTCTCTGTCAGGCACCGGTCGTTGGGCCGGTGCCTCTGGTATCGGGATAGTCTTTACTATCCCGTGATTTGGCTTGAGTATGCCAGAGCGAAATTGGTTCATGTAGCGCTCGATGGCGTTGTGGACGCGCAGTTCCCAGACGAGGCTGTCAATGGTGTCCAGGCATTCCGAACAGGTAGAAGCTCGGACAGTCGGGTCGCGAAGCCGATTTATCCTCACTTCATTGTCGGATCCCGGTGCCTCTGGTATCGGGATACACTTTACTGCGTCCCAAACGATTTCTTCGTTTGGCTTCAGAATGAAGGTGAACTTGGAGTGAGGTAATCACATCCGAGTAAAACTTGCACGTCCGATGTCGTCGGTTGGACGAAGAACGTGTGGTGGCTCTTATATCCCTGCAGTGTCACCGGTACGGTGCAGCAGTGAGAGACCACAAAGGCGGTTTGACCGCCAACACCAAGGA